AACCATCAACACTGACACAAATGCAAGAAAACAGCCTTTGAATAGCCGTCCACTGTAGTGACCACTATGCCTGAAAGGGTTAAAGAAAAAGTTGCATCGAAAGATGAATGTGATCTCTTAATATGTGGAAGCACGTTTCTCTTTTTCAGTCTCCTCCACACACAGACTCAAATAGCTTACATTTAGTAAATGAAACCAATGACTCTCTTTTTTTTTCTTTTTTTTTGAGGGGGGGGGGTCATGCTCACATTGAGACATAATTGAATCCGCCATTCCCACTAAAGAGGCCCCTGACACTGTAATCCAATAATACACTCCTTTTCGTCCACTTTGAAGAGCATCTTTTAAGAATGTTCCTTTAACCCAGACAGCAGAGGGTGCTTGCAGCCTGTAGCTCAATCTTTCTCTGTTTCACATGCACACGCCAACACACACTCATCCCTGAGCTGCATCTTGGCAAGACAGCGAGACAGGGCAGTCATTAGTATACAAAATGCACACTACTCATTGGAGCATTAGACTTGAGAGACGGCCATTTCTGGTGATGTAGAGTCATCTCTTAATGTTGGTTTGTGATAGTTCTCATATCCGACTTTACAGTCAATCATATTCCCTCCTGCTGTTGCTCTCATATCTTTCTCCCTTTCTTTCTCTCTCCCAGTGTCGGTGTGTGGCTCTCCACCGCCACAGGTTGCCAAAATGAATGAGAAGCTGGTGGAAGCCAGTCTTCAGTTCAAGAAGAAACAGCCCAAAGGCACCATTGATGTGTGGTGGCTGTTTGATGACGGAGGTAATTCTTGGATCATTTTTATGAACACTGCCTGAAGTTCGTAACAGATAGGTGCACACAAATCCATAACATTCTCCTCGATGTCACTGGAGACAAAAATATATGAAACAAGCCAAATCTTTAAAATGTAGAAGTCTCTGAAAGATGCAACACGGAGCAATAAATAAAAAATGTGCTTCTCTTCTCTCAGGTCTTACACTGCTCCTCCCCTACATCCTCACTACCAGGAAGAAGTGGAAAGACTGCAAAATGAGGATCTTCATCGCAGGACAGCCTGGACGCAGTGATCTGGATAAGGAGGAGTGAGTAAACTAATTAATATTTCAATATCAATTACAGTTTAATATGTGGAAGTTAGACTGGATACATTAATTGGCAAGATATGAAAATTCATGTGCTGCTAACGTTACTGGAATGCTATTTAGCATTAACACCAAAATAATGAAGTACATGTATAGGAAAGCTAATCAGTGCGTGGTGATTTGACTTGCAGGATGAAGGGCTTGCTGAAGAAGTTTAGAATCAACTGCAGTGACATTAATGTCTTTGATGACCTACATATCAAGCCCAGGTCTGAAAGGTAACTGCCATTTCTTTTCACATGCACAAGTAACAGCGAACCAGATGCTGAAGTAGTAATAGTAAAATTAAATCACATTGTAATATCAGCATGCTACAAGTTTAGGGGAGAAAAAGAACATTTATAGAGAAAGCTCATGTTCTTATTTGCATTTCTCCAGCTTGAAGGAGTTACAGGAGATGATTGAGCCTTTCCGTCTGCATGAAGGGTCCAAAGACGCTGATCAGATTAGAGCCTTGCAGAAACAGCAGCCCTGGAAGGTCACCGACAAAGAGCTAAGCGAGTTTGAGGAGAAGGTAAAAACCACTGACGCTAAGTAATAACCTTACACAGGCTACAGTGAAGATATCATGTATTATCTTCATATCAATATAAACAAAATAAAAAAATTTATTGTTAAAAAAAAATAACTGTCGCTTGGTTACAGACACACCTCCAGGTACGACTGAATGAGCTCCTCAAGGAACACTCCAGATCAGCCAATTTAATCGTTGTGTAAGTATATATTGTCTGAATAACACTACCAAGCTTAATCCAGTGTTGAAAGAACAATGTCTAACATATTTGTTTCCACTGCTGACCCCTGTAGGAGCATGCCCATAGCTCGGAAAGAAACGATCTCTGATTTCCTCTACATGGCCTGGCTGGACATCCTGACAAAGGACCTTCCACCCACCCTGCTCATTAGAGGCAACCACAAGAGTGTGCTAACTTTCTACTCTTGAGCACTTTCCATGCCTACAATCCGAGTGTGATATAGCTAGAAAGGAAAAGGAATGGTGTTGCCATAATGACAAGCCATGTTTAAATAAAATGTACAAGAATATTTAGTCTTCCAGGCCAGCAGAAAAGTGTAACAGAATCAAGCATTTGTGGATAACTCCAGTTGAAAGCATATATAGAGAGAGATATAAATAGATATATATATATATATATATATGTGCCCTATAAGAAAGGACACACACACAAGTCTGTATTTCCGAAATTGAATTTGTAAATGTGAAATGTGTCCAAATATGAATGTAGCAGCTTACACGTAGTAGAACACATAGTCAAATCAATTCAAATCAGTTCATAAACAAATGCAGAGACACAACCACGGCTGTGCAATGGTCAGACTGTAAAATAATTGTATATAGTAGATGTGTGTATTCTAGAAATGATCAACATCTTGTTATTGGCAACTTTATTATCAGTTCTTTTTTAAACACTTGTTATATTCACTGTGTAAAATACACTGCTGCCATTATACAGATGTTTACCTTTCACGTGACATTTTTTCAATATTTTTCATGTTCCTTTCATAGTACACTTTTTAAGGGCAACAGAATAAGGTAAAACATTATAAATCAGATTATTCTGTAAATTTTACCCTTCCTATTTTAGTATCTATTTAAGCACATAATGTTAATCAGCTGAAATAAAGATTAAAAACATTTGTGATGTCTCCTTATCTGAATATATTATATTTATTTATAGTGTCAGATGTTCTTTGAACAGAGAAATGTGTCAGTGGAGGGGGAAATGGGGTATTTGCTGTAGTATATAAATTATATGTCTATTCATTTTAAATGTATAGTATCTTACTTGGTACCTTACAGACATCATTTGGGTATTTTCTCATTTTATGATGATTATTCTATACAGTTTGGCACACTGGGAATAAAAAGTATGCACACTTTGAAAGTAGTCAGCAGAACCTAAGGTTTAATAATAATGACGCTTACCCTTCATCAGACATATTTATTCATTGCAAACCATAAAAGATCTTTTGAGTTAAAAGTAAAGCTGCACATGCCACCTACATATCAGCCAAATCAAGATCAGCCTTCGCTATCAGCAAATAAGACGACCTTTACCGTTGGCAGTAGCCATAATCTGCTGTGTCACATCAACGATACAGAGTTCAAACATAATTTAGCACACTTTAAAACTATTATTTTAATTGATGTAGTTGAAATTTTGCAGTTTAAAGAAACAAGAAAAAAAAACAAAAACCCACACCTATACAGTTGACGAATTAAGGTGATCATACCAAATAGTGAATTTCAAGGTTGCTAGAACTGTACAAAACCTGTTTTACAGATATAAATATATATCTATATCGCTCTCTGTCTCTCAGTATATAAATTACTGCATCTGTATGTCCCATTTTGCAAGTAAAATATAAAGAATGAGGGTTGGCTCGAGACTTTAACACAATTAAGACAGATCTGCACTGTGATGGAGAAAAGAGCTAGCTGCCATGTCATGAAGACCCTGGAAAGACTCATCCTTGACCAACTCTGACCTATTGTCAGGCCACATCAGGATCCCCTTCAGTTTGCTTACCAGCCCCGCCTACAGGAAGGGCCAGAGTTGTCTCTATTTTCTGAGGTGCTGAGGTCATTTAAAATCTGTCAGACAATGCTCAGGATTTTTTACGAGTCTGTTGTGGTCAATACCACCCTGCTATTGTGGTCAGTCGCAGATGCCAATTGACTCAATAAAACTGATCTGCAACGCCAGTAATGTTGTGGGGATGGAGCTGGACTCCCTTAAGGTGGTGTCAGAGAGGCGGATGTTGTCCAAGATAAGGACAATGCTGGATAATACCTCCCACCTTCTCCATGACGTGCTGGCCAGTCACAGGAGAATATTCAGTGAAAAACTGAAATTACCCAAATGCACCAAAGAACGATGCAAGAAATCAATCCTGTACGGTGGCCCCTGGAGACAAAGCATATACAAACTCTCTAGGGGCCACCGTAATCCTACCCATCTAATGCACACTACACAGTGCAATAGTTAGACTCTTTTGCACATGCTCTTTTTACATTATTAAATTTAGTTCAGTTTGTTACTGTTGTCTTACAGCAACTGTAACCACATTATTTCCTTGGCGATTAATAAAATATTTTGATTCTGATTTAAATCGTGATACCAGTACGTTCAGATGCTATGACGGCATGTAGGGGTCATGCTGTGGCATATGGAGTCGGAGATGTTGTCCTGCTATTTGGAGATGACTGCACAGCATTTTGGGTATGATGCAGCAGCGTTTGGGGATAATGCCAAATCTCGGTGCTGATGCCACGATTTAAACTAGCCCAGCTGCTGTGACAGCAAATTAAATTTATATTTAAAAACATACCCTATCAACCAGAACTGGGTTGCGAGTCGATACGACGAAGAGTATATCAATCGTGTTTCGTTCCTTGGTTCTAGCCTATAAAATCGTTTGCGTACTTTATACGCTGCTGAAGCTTAGAGCTGCTCCGAGACACGGGGGGGAGTGCGGCGTTCGTGAACCCGAGAAACCTGCCAAACGAAATTATTAACAGTATGGCCCGAATACTGCTAAAGGACTTTCAACTATGCTCGCGGGTTTTTAACGCCGCTCCACGTTTTTTGAGGAAAGAACTGCACTTTCAAATGACAACTAAAAATAAAGGCAAGCAAGAAATTACGAGCGATAACGCCACCATGACCGACACGCCAGGAAGTGCTTAATGGCATTAGCTTTGCTAGCCTGCCTAGCGTTTTGTAACTGTCTGCTTTGGTTTGGTCATGTTCTTTTCTTTCTTGTTTGTCGTGTTCGAACCACGTAAGCGAAACAGTCCTTCTGCTTTGTTCGGATATATAATGTATAAGGCTTATGTCTACGATTTCCTTTTTGTTTTTGTAGGCTGATATATTTTTCCACCGGAAGTTAGAAATGTTTATATTAGTAACTCTCGCGAGAAAACTCACGTTAACTACTTTGACTGAACGCGGGAATCTCATGCAAATGATCTCGCAGACCCGGGAACACACTGAAGCAGATTGTTAGTGGAAGTTTGTAGTGTCGTCCTTTAATTATCAATTACTTAGTTTTTAGTAGGTTTTAATTTTTTATTGTACTGTAGGTTTTTAATTGTGCATACTTTGCCAACATGCCCGTCCTAGAAGTCACAGATGCTTCTGCAGTTTCTCCATCAAAGAGAACAAAGACAGAAAAAAACCCTGCACAGGAAAGACCTGTCCTCAAATTTGCAAAACTTTCTGAGCATGCTACGACCCCGACCAGAGGCTCAGCTAAAGCAGCAGGTTATGACCTCTACAGGTTAGTAACTCTTTAAACTGAAATTGTGTTAGGTTCACTAGATGCCTAATTTGTGACTGTTGATGTGTGTGCGTGTATATTTAAGTCTGGTTGTACCTTTGGTTGTATTATTTTAAAAATGCAGATAAGCTTACCTTTACTGTCTTTACTTAACAGTGCGTATGATTACTCCATTTCTCCTATGGATAAGGCCATTGTAAAGACAGACATTCAGATAGCAGTTCCACATGGCTGCTATGGGAGAGTGGGTGAGTGTCTCTCTGCTATTCAATTTTTATTTGAGTTACCTGTCGTGTGAACTCGTGTTAGTCTTTCCTGTTTATGCACCAGTTGTAAAACACCAGGTCATCTGTAACTGTCTTTTTGTGTTTTTTTTTTTCCCCTCCCCAGCACCAAGATCTGGACTGGCAGCAAAACACTTCATTGATGTTGGTGGTGAGCTAGCTAGCTATCTGACCTAATCATTGCAAGTTAACCCCAGTAGTGTACAGACATGACATTTTAATTTGTGTTATGTGTCGCATGTTCTCCTCAGCTGGAGTTGTAGATGAGGACTACAGAGGAAATGTGGGTGTTGTGCTGTTCAACTTTGGCAAAGAGACGTTTGAAGGTGAGTTATGGTGACAATAATGTATATTGTCAGTCTTTCATAACCACAGTAACCAATGAAAGTAATCAGATTAGGGGATGACATCCATGCGCTCCACTTAATATAGATGCAGTATGGTACAAAAGTAGACTTGGATACTTTAAAAGATTGATGCAATTATCAGCTTTTATTTATCAGTAAAATTTGTGATTTAAAAAAAAAAAAAAAGAATTGGTATTTGTGTGAAAGACTATTTAAGCTATTGGCTTCACTTTGAAGACCAAAAAAAGGTCTAAAAGTGATCTGAGAATGATAAATTGAGCTTCACATATATTGCTTATATTTCATTTAAGCCAAAAATAAATAATATATTTACTGTTGACACTTTTCAGCCTATTGGAGCTCATTGGAGCTTAATAATGAAAGTATACACATAAACGCTTGATATGAAGACTTTTATCGATCAGTCAGATTTAAAGGTTATCTCATCTGCTTCCTTTTAATCTTACAGTGAAAAAGGGCGACAGAGTTGCTCAGCTGGTGTGTGAGAGGATCTGCTACCCAGATCTGGTGCAGCAAGAGGTAAATTCAAAGTTGAGTTTATTGGGTAGATCTAATTAAAACCGGTGCAACATAAATGGTCATGAAAAGATGCGAAGCTTCAGCTTTGTGGCTATTAGAAGCTGCTGTTTTTTGTTGCTCTTGAATTATTATAGGCTACTCTACTTAAAGATGTCTAGGCTTATGTCTGTGAAACAAAATGAACTTGAACAGCACTACAAGTGACACAGAAATTGTCATAAAGCTGAATCTCATCCTCTGAGTTTCAGAACCAGAAAATTAGTCTTCTTTAAGGTTGCTTAAAGAAGTCGCTTTGAGTGTTCAGAGTAGGAAAAAGAAAACTATGTAGAAATAATAAAGGTTTAATAATGCATTTGTTTTCTTGTGTATTTCTTCAGATTAGTTTTAGTCTTTAAATCCAAGTGTTTGCCTTTATTTATTTATCTTTTCTGTTTTAGACACTCGATGAAACAGACCGTGGCGCTGGAGGTTTTGGATCAACTGGAACCAACTGAAACCCTCATGTGTTTTTAAAATATGTTAGTCTTAACTTTGATAAAATAAGAAATAAAGTTTTGTTTTATATTTGAGTGTAGAGTTTTGCTGGGACTGAAAACCATGTGTTCCTAGTAAAAGTTCACTAAAGTTATCAATTCTCAACAAAGCTATTCTTCCAGATGGCCACATGGGGGCAGTCATACACAAGAATGTAATCAGCTCAAACTATTTCATCTGCCAGAGACTTGGTAACTTCCCTTTACTTAATACAGACGTGTGCAGAAAGAGGACATATAGGTGCCTGCTCAACTATACTGGTTACAATGGTAATACAATTCAGATAAAGGGGGAAACACAGCAGTGAGTACATGTACTCCAAAAATGTTTTTATTGTGAATTTACATCTAAACCCTCACTGATGTGAACATGGAACACAGACTGGTGTCAGGCTGGTCCATTGCAATGCAGCACTGATTTTGACTTGTGAGAGAATATGTGGCCATGAAGACCTCAGTGCATAATCATGAAGGCCCAGGTTTGGCATCATCAATGTGTTTTGTGTGTGTGTGTGTGCGTGTGTGTCTGTATGTATACACAGTTTACAAAGGAAGTAGTTGGTCATTATAAGCACCATTACAACCCCTTCCCCTCTATTCCAGGGGCTTCCTCTAGTTTACAAAAGCTTCATAGATTAAAAGTGGCATTGATTATTACAGTATAAACACAATTTACATGTAGTATAGAGGAGAGCAGGCAGGCTATGAAGCTAGCTGTTACTGTTGCAAAGACATGAAACCTTCAGAAAGGCCAATGGGATTGTGCCTTGTTCACTACTGAGTGCATTCAAAAGTCTATGTGGATGTGTTGCTAGCACCAGTAAATATGAATTATTCTAGTCAGTAGGAAAAATGGAAAAGCATAGTTCAAATACGCGGTAGGAGTTGTTCAAGCTCCGACATAGCTACATCTCAATAGTCCACAATGGGTTCCTCTCCTCTCCTAAGCCTTATTTGGGGAAACAAAGAAATGTGTGTATCCAGGTTCGATAGTCATTTACCTGAGGGGAGGAAATGAATTTATTTCAGACTATTGGGACTCGCCTCTTTCTTTTTATCCCCCCGCTACTTAAGCTGAGTTCTAAGAAAACAAACAAACTTGGCCCTTAGAGCTTTCTGCAGTCCACAAGCCCTTCAATGTGGCATCCGATTCCACATATCATTATACAAGATTAAACCATACAATTACAAACCCTATCCACTCCCTCAATAGTGCTTTAAACGCAGCTGGAGTGGTGTGTCGGGGTGATATGCTTTTTATTTCGACTGGAATCTTTCCCACCTTCGGTGGATACTTTCCACAGTAATTGTACCTATGATATGCAGAATCATCTTTGGTGATCAAATGACACAGAACAGTCCATCCCCCCACCCCCACCCCCGTCTTGTCTCTTTGGTGGCGAGCCCTTAGAGTGAGTAGACGTTAACGCTTAGCTGCTGAACCAGAGTCAGAAATGTTTGGCCTTTTTCAGGGGGGACTGTGAGCTTGACACTGGATTAGCAGCTGCTGGCAACATCTGCCTCTCTCAGTCTTGTGATGGTTAATGGAGCATGATCTGCACCCTCATCTTCAGTATGTCTCCCAGCTGTCCTGTGAGGTAGTCTTTATCATGTTGGTCTTCCAGCTCAGCCAGCTCCTTCTTCCTGTAGAGGGGCATACTGCTGATCTGAAGGTGGTATGCGCCTGGCACGAGGCCCTTCTTCTTGCTCAAGTGCAGGTAGCTGACACCCTCCCTCTGGTTGATTTTGAAGTAGCCTTCCTCATTCCCGTAGTCGATGCTGTAACGCACATGGTCGCTCAGTGTGCTTAAGGCCGGGGTAAACTCGAGGATGTGGTCGCGGTTACTCAGGTCACTGATGTTCAGGTGGAACTGGAGAGTGTCTTCGATGTCCACACTGGCCAGGCTGACCGCCTCTGTCTCAGTTAGCTGCAAAGAGAAAATGTGGTCTGGCTGAGTTTAGAGGCTAAAGATGTCCAATAGTAAAGTCGAAGTCGAGTGAATCTGTGAATCAGTGTTAATTAAAGTCTGACTAGACGCTGGAGACATTATGAAAAAAAATGACTTGTAATCGGTTGGTAGATCTGTCATTTAATACTGATTTTCACAAAGTTGTTCCTTTTTTTACATGAAGGTTTTGGTCCCATTTCTGTTACAAGGCCTTTCCCTGCTATAGAGGGGAAAACTCTTTGGAAGAAATCAGGGACCTTCATTTATTTATTTTATTAAGACTTAAAGTAGTCAAATATAAACGTAGTGTCTCTTACAGAATCCATCAACTTTTCAAAACCTTCAATTTCTCTTAAAAAATACAGGGGACAGTGTGCTTCATACATACCTGCATGTCTTCCAGAGGATTTTCCTGTGTTGAGTTAATGCTGCGACGTTTGCGTCCCTTCTTGGGATAGCCATTGATTTTACATTCGTAGCAGGCCTCGGGAGAGAGGGAATTATCCTCCATTTCACTTCCCTGTCCAGGACTTGTGAAGCCCAAACCTGTGACGCAGTGTCTGAAAGCAAAAGTAAAGCCATCAGTAACCTATAAACACAGGAAACGTTACCACCGCAGTCGCTCACTTACTTACCCTTGTCCTGCACGGAAGTACCCAGGTGGACATCCACATAAGTAGCCTCCGTCCGTGTTTGAACAGCCAAACTTGCATGGGTTCTGGCTCGTGGAGCACTCGTTGATGTCCGTGCAGCCTCCGCTTGTCTGCTCGTAGTTAAAGCCGGTGGGGCAAAGGCAACGGAAACTCCCCAGGGTGTTGTGGCACGACGCTCCCCCGCAGATCTGGCTGTTCAGGCACTCGTTCTCATCTGGGTCACAGGAAGTTGATGGGAAGTAAACAAACGCGGGGTCATTCCAGTTAAAAGAGACAAACAATACTGGGAAAGCCTGCAATGAATGTCGTAAATATGTGCAGACATTCAAACTAAAATTAGAGATTTAATTAACCACCACTCGTTTATTCGGCAGTGCACACATCAGGACACACACAGTACATATAATTGCTTTCTCGATAACTTAGCTATTCCTACTTATTTTACATACCAAATGCATTTTTGATGTTACCCTACCTTTTATTTGATTTTTTACCTACTTCAATCGTTCATTAGCACTAACACAATAAATTGAGAAGATTTTCTAATAAAATAGACTCTATTGGAGAACTTCAAGGTTATATGGTTGATATTTTAGCAACCAATTCATGAGGATGTTCCAAAATGAAAGAATTGTTATATTTGCTGTCAAAGAGGACAGCGGTATAACTTACCAACACACTGATTCCACTGATAGTGCTGCAGGTAGCCTTGGGGACAGCTGCACCTGTATCCACCTACTAAGTTCTGACAGCCATGCTGGCATCTGTGATTGCCGTCACACTCATCCATATCTGTCAAACGCACACACACACAACACAAAATTACTCGGAGTCTTTTCCTGTGATTAATCAGCTGATGCTGGGTTGGAACAAATTGTTTTTAGACCTTCACAGGTTTGTCCGCTAGGATCTAATGAGAATCCCCGCTGGCAATCGCAATTGAAGCTGCCTGGCGTGTTCTGGCAGACGCCACTGGAGCCGCACAGATTGGGGTCTGTTGCGCATTCATTGTTGTCTGCATGGACAAAAAGGGAAGGTTCAGACAAGGGTAAAACTGGAAACATGGCATAAATGCTCATTACCCTGATTTGGACTTGCTGAGTCAATAAAAATTCATTCACAGTTGGCACCGGTCCCTAAAAATAGGTCAGGTTACTGTAAACTCTCGGTACAAACTGTCTTGATGTCTGAAAGGGGTTCAAGAATAAAATCCCTAATCAGCTGAACGAAGATCAGATCAGAAGTGGCAAAAACAAATATTTAAATTTGGATTCCTGACCTTGGGAATAAAAGAAAAGCCAGCGCTCATTAACAAGAGTTTTCGGGGGGAAAAAAATGTAGAAGTGGGTGTTTGAGAAACAGGTTTGATTGTTGTGATTGGAATCTGTGTAAATCTGAACACAATGTTGAAGTTCAGGCTGGGAAACAGAGTAATCTCTAAATCTCAGCCTTTAAATGCGTTGTTATTTTTCACAGTCTGTTGAGATTTAGAAAGACTGCTAACACGCTCGCAGTTTAGCTTTCCATTTGAAGAAACAATCAGTGCGTGGGACATAATGCTAAAGCATAGCAGGATAGTCTACTTTGTCCCCAGGCAACCCAACTATGGGTTTCAAAGCTGATTTAAAGTGGACACGTTATGATTTTCCTTACTGGTGTCAGTGGATGTGACAGTTGTGGATTCATGCTAAACATGGGTAGAGATTCACATAATAAGATCTGTGCATGTACAAGCAAACCGCATGTTAGTAAATGCTCAAACGGTTTTATTTACTCTTGTTTCTGTAAGATGTCAAGGACAGTGGATATTCTTAATTTGGTCAGTGATTATAGCAGACACACCCACCCGCTGTTTATGAGGGGCAGCCAATTACAGGAAAGATGGCTTAAAGGGAAAGGATCAAAATGGCTTGATTGAAAGAGGGGTCATTTAAAACAAAGATTGTGTCGACACGTGAAATGACACAAGCTAGTCTAGCAGAGTTGAAGAACAAAAAAATGATGGACATGCGCAAAATAGATGTGCTGGAGAGAGAAGAAGAGTAGTATCTATAATATGTCTGGAAACGGCCACTACTTTTCCCCACTGAACAGCTTGTTTGATGAGCATGCACCTTAGTGAATCACACATATGACTGAAATAAGGAAAAACAATTTAGGTCAACTTTGAAGCATATTTGGAATCTACAGCCAAATTACACTATCCTCCTATGACTCAGAGGTTCATTTTGTACCACTTTCTCTTAAATATTGGCAAACAGCGATCATAGTATGACTGGAACAACAGTTTTACGTCACAGTCGTGTTTTTCCCAGCTCATTACTCGTAGAGTAACAGCACATCCACACCTGCTGTGTGCCATTTGGGTTACACTCTTAAAAAAGCCAAACCCGAGGATTCCCTGACACTGATTTGATGTGAGGTCTCGGGTGCC